GATTATTTTCTTAAGAAGTCACTTAGTAAATACAACTGTTGATCAGTAATATTAAAACTTCGCTTGATCGAGTTTGTGAGATTTTATTCCTGAATACCGCCGTGACTTTGAGCTGTCTGTATGGAGAATAAAGTCCTCCAGAGCTTGAAATCAGACTCTCTTCTTGAGTTCCAATTAAAATAGCTTTTTTCGATAACCGGCTCGATCTACGAGTCTTCTGAAAAATCACGTTGTACCTAATAAGCGTGTTTGTTTACTTTTTAAAATGCATAAGAAAAAAAGGTCTAAGTCATTGAAATTTTATTTCAGGTGTTAATCGTATAATTTTATTTCAATTTGCATCTTTCCTTGATTCTTTTAATATGAATAATTCGAAGATAAAACTATGTGCGAGTGTGCGCATGCACAGTGGGCCCCCACGGCGCCCTACAAGTGCTAGAAACTGATCCCACATGGAACATCAGCATTTCGTTTCCTCATATAAAATAACAAAAGTAACGTATATGGTATAAGAGCTTTGTGCTTGCTAGTGTCGTGTAACATTCGTAGTCAAATGACGTAAGACGATCGCTAAACGTTTAATTATCGATCTGCTAACATCTTAGTGAGCGAGTGAGCGAGTGACACATTTGCATATTCAGACCCCTCACAATAACTCGTTTCTACGCTTCGCGTATCCACGAGTTAAAAATCTTAAAAATTAGAGTGAAATCACAATTTTTTGACTGAAATTTCAGACTGCTTTTTCATAATACAATATTATGGAATTTGTAACTTTTGGGTCATATAGTTCTTTCAATTTTTATTTAATTCTTTAACCAAAATCATACTATTAACAGTTTCATGATTTTCTGCAAATCTAAGTCAAAAGAACAGATTGAACAATAAACTTAATTTCAATCGACAATTACAACTCTGGTGATAATTTGTAATATTTTGTTGGTGCTTTTTCTTTTTGAAAACATAAATATTTGTCAGTTGGAGTTCAGAAAATAATTTTGATGCCATGCACGATCATGTAAACTTGCATACACGATCCAATCTCGATGAGAAGTTTCAAATAGTTCATTTTTATATCGATTCAACATTTGAAATCTTATCTTGGGTGAAAATATCTTGGTTTTCATTTCAAATTATTAAAGTTTCAGCATATTGTACAATCGATATTATAACACAGAACAGGGGACATCCAACAGACCAATCACATTACACAAGGTTAATGTTTATCCAACAGAATGCTTGAAAATGGCACTTTCATAGCTATATATGGCAAGGCATGACATGCATGTATCTTGAGCTTTCAAAAGTCATACAAAATCTGCTTCCTAAGACGGTATGCAGATAACGATGATGCAATTCAAGCACCGTAATAATCATAAAATACTCATTACTACAAGGACTTGCCTTAAAAGTTTATATTAAAAATATTTTTAAATTTTGCAAGTCAATTCTATATTATCAACATTTCAGAATCTTCAACGATTTATTGATCTATTTATTTCTCTTATAAGAAAATAGGTTTTTGGAATTGGAAAAACTGCCCTCTGCTATTTTAGATTTTATTTAGTCTACTTTATTTCATTCTCTACCTAGAACTTAACTACAGCTTTGGTTACCATAGCTCTTTGAATTTGTAAGAAATCATCAAAGGAGTCAGTCTTAAAATAGGATTTTCTTTTTTAAATTTTTCAACAATAGTTTTGCATTTGCTATGAAATTTCATTAAAAGCTTATTTCTAGTTTCTTAATTTATGAAATAATGTACAACGTTCTCTCTAACACAGTATTGAGGAGATTTTGGCAAATGAAGTCTACAAGCCAGCAGTGAGACAGCATCAAAGGTGCTTGTGATGTTGTTGCATATTACCACCTTCTATTCTTCATTGCATTGTGATGATATGGTTATGACATGTGTAGTGTAATTGCCAGTGACACAGTGTGGGATGCTGTTATGGTGATGACGATGGAACATATTCACTTCTTACTACTGCATGATAGTTTGTTGCTTGTGTGCTTATAGAACACCTTCTTTCCTCTGTCACTTGATGGTGATATGGACATGTGTAGTGTAATTGCCAGTGACACAGTGGGATGCTGTTAGGGTGATGACAATGCAATATCTTTACTTCTTACCACGGCATGATGGTTTGTGATGTTGGAATACTATAGAACACCTTTTCCCGTCCATCACACCATGATGATACTATCTTCAGTTCCCACCAGACCATTACAGGAAGGTTTTGAATTGCATAGTCTAGTACCACTGGAGTCAAAGATGTTTGTGATGCTGTTATGGTTAGACAATAAAGTATCTTGATTTATGAGAGGATGGCATTAGGGATGGCATTTGAATTCTAGTGGCAAGTTGCACACCTGTGTAGCAGACTATGATGCTCTTATGGATGGGCTATATAGATGCAATATCTTCACCAAAGCATGACATGCAGTAGTTTAAGGATGTTAAGCAAAACAGCTAGTTGCACATCATATGAAGATATGTAATGATGTTATTGTGATGGTGCTGCTTTATCTGATTGATTGGAAGTTACACAGATATCATAGTGACAAGTGATGGAAACTGAAAGGATTCTTCAACCATGACCACAGTGACCAAGAATACTGCAGGCAAACATTCTAATATGGAATGGATAAAAATTTAACATATCTAGAAAGATCACCTTCAGGGAGACTTCTTTGCAGCTTTCCTCTTCTTGTTCTTCTTGGATTTTGTTGACCTTCCAGGCCCTTTGACTGAGTTTGTGTTTTCTATTGTAGCATTGTTATTGTTGTTGTTGTTATGGTGACCAATGTTGTTGCTAGGAGATGGTTTGTTGATGATAGTTTGTGTTATAGTAATGGAGGAAGTCTTTTTTTTGTCAGGTTTTAGCTTAACATCATGATTATTTGACTGTCTCTTTACTGTTTGGTTGTCTGTTTCCTGAAATAAAGTACAAAGGTATTCAATAAATAGAACAAAAATCCACTGACACCCTACCAACACCTTAGCCACAATCCACTGACACCCTACCAACACCTTAGCAACAATCTACTGACACCCTACTAGCACCTTAGCAACAATCCACTGACACCCTACCAACACCTTAGCCACAATCCACTGACACTACCAACACCTTAGCCACAATCCACTGACACTCTACCAACACCTTAGCAACAATCCACTGACACTCTACCAACACCTTAGCAACAATCCACTGACACCCTACTAGCACCTTAGCAACAATCCACTGACACCCTACCAACACCTTAGCAATGATCCACTGACACCCTACCAACACCTTAGCAACAATCCACTGACACCCTACCAACACCTTAGCCACAATCCACTGACACCCTACTAGCACCTTAGCAACAATCCACTGACACCCTACCAACACCTTAGCAACAATCCACTGACACCCTACAAACACCTTAGCAACAATCCACTGACACCCTACTAGCACCTTAGCAACAATCCACTGACACCCTACCAACACCTTAGCAATGATCCACTGACACCCTACCAACACCTTAGCAACAATCCACTGACACCCTATACACATAAAATCACTTACCAACAACCTATTTGACACACCACCAACCACTCATCCAATAAATAACCCTACATACACAAGAGCACTCTCCTATAATCACAATAGTACACTCACCATCGCAATATCCTTGTTGTTTTCTTGTGAATTGCTAATAGTAGAATTAAGAAAGTGTCCTTTGTGATCCACATTTTTTTCTGCATTTGTATTCTTAGATAATGATTTTTGGAGAGATGAGTTTATGTTTGCTGAAGGAGTTGATTTTGCAACTCCTGAGTATGAGACTGATAAGTCTGACAATGTGGAACTTTCTTTGCTTTTCTTTGGTGGTGCTGCAGTAGGACTGTTCAAAGACATAGATCCTCTGTAATTTGAAACCCTGAAGTCAGAATTCAAGTCCAAAGTGAGACCACTGCTGAGAGCAACAACCGAGTCTGAACTACTTGGTCTTGGTGTAAATGGATCAGTACCATTATCCATTTCAGAATATCGAGTGACTAACGATTCCACATTGGACTGAGATCTTGAAAGTGGGTGCATCGGGGTCTTAGATGCATCAATATAATGTTTCCTTCCATTTTGAGCAGAATTGTCCATGGTTTGGTTTTGATTGGATCTATTGGCAATACTTGCATAGGTTGGTGGTACTTTAGGGAGATTAGGCTGAGGTTGTGGTATAAAGGAAACCACAGCTGGCTCCCCCCAGTTATCTTCCACCCATTCTCTGTATTCCACCACCTCTTTTGTTACCCGAACTATTCGACTTAAAAGACTGTTAAAGAAAGGAAAACAAACAGAAGTCAGGACAATATGTGCCTTATCACAATCTATGTCACAGGAAAATTTTATGGGATTTTTTCCCAATAATGGGATAAATTGGAAATATTGGAAATTCATTCCAAATGCCCATGTTCTCTTTTTCTGAAAAAAATATTTCCCAATTGAATCGAAAAGATAAGGTAGTTATTTTACTAATTTCTTAAAATAACAATAACTACTAGTTTAATAACACTAGTTTTTAGCTAGTTATATCTTTTTAATAACTACTAGTAATAATCTAGCAGTATGATATTTTGTATTTTTATGTGTTGGTGGGGAGGGGAGAGGTTTGGCTAGGTATGAGGTTAGGGAACATCAAGTGAATAAATAATCTGAATTCCCAATTTATTGGTGCAAAAAATAAATGCCCCTATCCTAACCCCCTCGGTATTCGTGAGAAAAGCTATTGAAGTATCTAGATTATTGTTCATGACAAATATCCCTAAGAAAAAAGAGTACCTGTTACAGCTGGGTGAGTGTATTAGAAAGCGTGTGTTAAACAGAGCTCTACAACTTTAATATTATTATTAATAGTGTCAAAAATGTCCATTCAAAGATTATATAATATACTAACCTGTGAGTCCTATTCCCTTCAATGGGAGGATTGGAATAGCGTTCAGCTTTACTGAGAACATTGTATGCATATACGAAAGCTTGTTTGACTTGCATGAATTTGTATGAACTTTTTCCAATGTAATTGCCTGCAGATGTAAACAAGACATGAATCTTAAAGGTTTTCAAGGTGGAGTGGAATGTAATGGAATAGAATGGGTTAGAAAAGAGTGGAGTGGAGAAAAGTGGAGTGAAGTTGAGTAGATACAGTGAGGTAGAGAAGAATGGTGGAGTAAAAAAAGTGGAGTAAAAAAAGGAGAGTAGAGTAGAGTAGAGTAGA